TTATAAATCCGGTCTCTTTTTCATTTTTTTTTTTGGCCTCATTTTTCAAACCGTTATGTTCTAAATAATAGAAATATATTAAAAATTTAAATATTGAAAAAATAGAAAATTTTCTAAGATCTTCTTAAATTTTTTAGGCTAGGGAATAAAAATCATCAAACATTAAGAAAAATATTCTAATTTTAAAATTACAAAATTTCTTTATTCTCTTCTAGAAAAATAGTTTCTTGCAATTCTTCAATTTTGCTCACTAAAATTTCAAGTCAGATCTAAGCTAACTTTGCACATATACCAAATAAATCATTAACAAGATTCAATTCAATCTCAATATTAATAGATCTCACATATTTCATAAACAACAATATAATTTCTAAAAAAAAAAATCAACCACAGAATTAAAATAACATTCGATTATGATTACATTTTTTTGATATCTCTCCATTTTACAAACAATAATAAATGTATAACAAATTAACAATATAACTTTTAAATAAAAAAATCTTTGCGGAAATTAATCTAACCTTACTAACTTTGAGTTGATTCTTCAGATCCAATTCTCTTCTGAATTTCTCTAACAACCCAAACCTTCGGCTTCTCTGAATTTATAGAGGACTGGTTCTTAATTTACGGCAAAATTTTGGGGAGAAGGTGATGTGGTCACCGGTTAAGCCTGGCTACTCAGGCGGACCGTGGGATAGGTTGCCTGGCTACTCAGGCGGACAGTGGGTGTGGAGACAAGCACTACCTTTATTCCCTGACTTTTCCCTTTCTGTTTTGCCTAGGACAGCTTTATTTTTAGCTACTTTCTAATTTTGATTTCTTCACTTTTATTTTCACTTAGTATATGTATTAGCTGAAGCAGGGGATTAGACAGTTTTTGCAATATCAAATATCTAGACCTTCAAACAGGTTACTGTTTCATTGTTTTTCCCCACGGTTTCCTTCTTCCTTGTTAGCCGCTGCATTATCTTTGGTATTAGAGCCAGGTTGCCGGTGACAATGGCGGAAAGTAGCAACCGTCCCAGAGCCGACGGAGATCGGAGTTTGGAGGCGTTATGGGAGACGCAAAAACAGACGTCCAAGCAATTGGAGGAACTTATCAATAAGTTCGCGCGCTTCGCCGACGATATGCGGGAAGAAATGCGACAAGTTCGAGTAGCTACAAACCAAGTAGCTCGTCCCACTTTTCCGGCAACCATACCGGCTCCGAGGAGGTATTTACGCGAAGAACCCCCGCCGCAAAGGGCAACCACACTCTGTCCGGTGGCGACATAGTCTGAGTCAGAAGGATTATCTCCGGAGGAACGATCCGAGGCTGAGGACGAAATGCACCCTCCAAGATTGGATCGAACGCGAAGGCAGAGGCTACCGAGACAAGAACCCGAAGGTATGCGCATTAAACTTGACATTCTGTTTTTTGAAGGTAGGCTGCACATCGAGGATTATCTGGATTGGGAGGCGGCGGTAGAAAATTTCTTTGACTATATGGAAATTCTGCCGGCCAAACAAGTGAAGTATGTGGCATGCCGTCTCAAGGGAGGAGCTAGTGCGTGGTGGATGCAAGTTTTACAAAGCCGGCGGCGAGAAGGCAAGGGTCCGGTACTCAACTGGACCCGAATGAAACGGCTAATGCGGCGTCATTTCCTTCACACAGACTTTGAACAACTACTGTACGTGCAGTATCAACAATGCCGACAGGGTCATCGTACAGTCAACGAATACACTGAAGAATTACACAGGCTGAGTGCTCGCAATAACCTGCTGGAGTCGGAAAACCAACTGGTGGCTCGTTATACGGCGGGTCTAAAAGAAGCTCTCCATGATAAGTTAGAACTCCATTCGGTATGGTCTTTATCCCAGGCCGTTAATTTCGCACTCAAAGCCGAATCTCAATTGCAAAGACCATATAGAACTCAGGCTCCTCGAAGGACATTCTCAGATAATTTGTCCGGACATCATAAAACTGACGGTACACATGGTAAAGACCATCCACCAATTCAGCCTCCGTTACGAACACCGACGGCTGATGACAAGGTACAGAATAAACCCCGAGGCGGCCGGGATAATCTTTATGCTAAACCATCAACCATAAAATGCTTTAGATGCCTCCAGCCGGGTCATAAATCAAACGAATGTCCGAAGTTAGAAGCTTTCACGAGCTAGCTAACTATTACAAAAGATTTATACGTGGCTTTGGGGAAATTACAGCCCCACTTACGAATTGTCACAAGTCTACCAAATTTGTATGGGGAAAAGAGCAACAGCAGAGCTTCGACCAAATTAAGGAGGCCCTCAGCACCGCACCAGTTCTAGCTTTCCCTGACTTCAATAAACCGTTCCATGTGGAAACAGATGCTTCGGCAGTGGGAGTAGGAGCGGTTTTGTTTCAGGATGAGAGGCCGGTGGAGTACTTCAGTGAAAAACTAAGCGGACCTCGTCAGAATTGGTCTACGTATGAACAGGAACTCTACGCCGTGGTTCGTGCCCTTAATCAATGGGAACACTACCTATTGCATCGAGATTTTGCATTATGCAGTGACAATCATGCATTGCAGTATATTAACAGCCAGAAGAGCATCAATCGGATGCACGCCAGGTGGGTAGTGTTCTTTCAAAGGTTCAGTTTTGTAATCAAGCATAAAGCAGGAAAGAGAAATCGGGTAGCTGACGCTTTGAGCCGGCGGTCGGCGTTGCTTGTCCGACTCCAGACGGAGCTTACGGGACTTCAGGCCCTTCAGGAACTCTATGTGAACGACAAGGATTTTTCTGCAATATGGGAAGCTTGTAAAACCGGTCATCCTAAGCTGGACTATTCTTTGCAACAAGGTTTTCTTTTTAAAGGTAATAGCCTCTGCATTCCTGAATCTTCCTGGCGTCCCCAGTTGATTAAAGAAATGCATTGCGTCGGGTTGGCAGCTCACATGGGACGTGACAAAACCTTAGAATTGCTACATTTGTGATTCTTCTGGCCGCATTTACGTCGTGATGTTCTTCGCTTTGTAGAAAAGTGTTTTGTGTGCCAAAGATCTAAAGGAACAGCCCAAAACACATGATTGTTCCTTCCCCTCCCCATTCCCGACTCCATATGGGAATATTTGTCTCTTGATTTTGTTTTGGGGCTTCCACGTACTAAGAGGGGCTCGGATTCTATTATGGTGATCGTTGACCGCTTTTCTAAAATGGCACACTTCATCCCTTGTAAGAAGACATTCGACGCTGTTAATGTCGCCTACCTCTTCTTTAAGGAGATTGTCCGGCTTCACGGAGTGCCACGGAGCTTAACTTCCGACCGCGACGTGAAATTTGTAAGTCATTTTTGGATAGCACCGACATCAAACTTAGCTCCGCCTACCACCCGCAGACCGACGGTCAGACGGAGGTAGTGAACCGCACGCTTGGTAATATGTTGAGGTGCCTGGTCCAAGATAACCACAAGAAATGGGAGGATCTGTTAAGTCATGCGGAATTTGCTTACAATGCGACCTCAAATCGGTCAACGAGATTGTGTCCGTTTCAGGTAGTCTACACGAAGTTACCCAACCAATTGGTTGATGTGGCGATCCTACCGAAGGGCTGCAAGACATTAGCTGGAAAAACGATAGTAGAGGCTCAAGATACTATCAGAATGGTTAAAGAAAATCTTCAAAGATCCAATGAGAAATACAAACTGGATGTTGATAACCACCGCCGACATAAGACATTCAGTGTTGGAGATTTGTTAATGTTGCGTATGCGTAAGGAGCGTTACCCCTAAGGAATGTACTTCAAGTTGTGTCCGAGAAAACTGGGACCATTCCCGATTTTGAGCAAGATCAACGATAATGCTTATGTGATTGATCTACCCCCGGATGTTCGAACATCCTCTACTTTCAATATAGCTGATTTGTACAGCTATTTTCCTCCTGATAATGAGGCTCCTTCACCAGTCTCGTCGGAGTCGAGCTTTTCGGAGCCGGGGGAGAACTGATGTGGTCACCGATTAAGCCTGACTACTCAGGCGGACCGTGGGATAGGTTGCCTGGCTACTCAGGCGGCAGTGGGTGTGGAGACAAGCACTACCTTTATTCCCTGACTTTTCCCTTTATGTTTTGCCTAGGACAGCTTTACTTTTTAGCTACTTTCTAATTTTGATTTCTTCACTTTTATTTTCACTTAGTATGTGTATTAGCTGAAGTAGGGGATTAGACAGTTTTTGCAATATCAAATATCTAAACCTTCAAACAGGTTACTGTTTCATTGTTTTTCCCCACGGTTTCCTTCTTCCTTGTTAGCCGTTGCATTAGAAGGACGATCGAAATTCACGGGATCACTCAATTTGTGGATCACGGGCTGAATGATTCATTTTCAGATTGGAAAAAGGTGAGATAATGTCAACCAAAAGGACTCACAGGCTTAACTATCCGATACTATTTAATAATTTAATAAACAAATCAGAATTTAACAATCCGATTTCTTAATTTATTACCTTAATCTTGATTACGACGTCATTACGATTTAATGTCGGAGGAGGTAAGTGCGGTTTATATGGAAACCGGAAGATGATAATCCTGTTTCTATAGAATCCGGATTTTGATGATCCGGTTTCTATAGAAACCTGATTTTAGTGATCCGGTTTCTCAAGAAATCGGATTATTCCCCTCCATTTTCGCTCATTTCTAAATTTTTTCACTCTCACGATCTTTATGTAAATTTAAATATTATTCATGCTCCTTTTAATAATTTGGCTTCCCCCCCCATTTACCGGGCAAATTATTGGGTCAGGTGACCGAACGCAGAGATAGGTCCGGATATTAATAAAATATTATTTTAAAATTAGCGCAATTAAAGCGCAACTAAAGCACAGGTAAAGCGCAGCTAAAACACAAGTCAAAAAGCGCAACTAAAGTGCAGGTAAAGCACAACTAAAACGCAAGATGATACGACAAATTTTTATTGAATGTCCGAACTTATTTTTGGCCTAGGGTCACGTGACCATTATTGCCCATTTACCGAGCAAGCCCTAATAATTCGGAAAATTCGTTCTTCAGTATCCTTATCCCATCCACCACGCTAAAATCTTCCGCTCTCCACTCCCATGGCGGCCGTCGCCGCCAGTCTCTCTCTCAATCTTTCTCTCATCCAGCGCTTCTCATCGCTCCGCCTGATCTATCGCTCTCCTTCCTCATCGGGCTTCTGTATATGCCGCTCAAACTCCCAACTCTCTTCCCTGCTTCTCCCTTACAGAACGAGAAGAAACCCCAGGGTTCTTGCCGTCATTGAAAAGGAAAATAAAACAAACTTGGAAGATACGGATTCTGAGGAGGATGAGAAAGCTATTGGCGGATCAGTCGGCGCTGTAGATGGGACAAAGCGAAGGGCACGGCCTTGCGAGCTCTACGTTTGCAACCTCCCTAGAAGCTACGATATCTCCCATCTACTTGAGTTATTTAAACATTACGGAACTGTTCTTTCGGTGGAGGTAATTCTTTGTTGGTGTTTTGTTATTGTTCCTCTGATGACACAGCCTGTACAGGAGGCTGTGTTTGGAAATTAAACAAATGTTGAACTGTTCAAATTAATTTTATTTCCAAACTTTCCTTCAATACAAACAAAACAAGTTATTTCATTTTCTGCGTGCCTTTTTAAATTCAATGAATAAGTGAGTGGCGCCTGTCGGGTATGGGAAAGAAGAAAGAACAGAAGAAGAAGATTGAAATAAATAAAACAAAGAAAGGAGTTATCTTTTGACTTGCTGGGTTTAGGGAGGGTTTGACAAATGAATATCTAGTAAGTATTGCCACATTGGATGCTAGTTAAATTTGGGGTTTGACCGAAAGAGCAGATGCTATTTTTTAGGAATTTATGGGAGTGTTGAGCTGTTTTTTAGGGATTTATGAGAGTGTTGAGACTTGAGAGTGGACGTTCCCCTACTCTTCTTCTCACTGTAGTCTTTATTTCTCTCTTTTTTAATCTTCTTGCGAGGGACTGATGGGAACGTCTAGCAGCGCCACAACTTGGCGGAGATCTGCCATGCAGTATTCTAAAGAATTGTTTTTCCCAATGTATCCTTCTTGGCATGGTTTCAAAGAGTTCCTCTATATAGTGCACCCTATCTTAAAAGGCTTCCACCATCTATCAACTGTAGAAACGCTAGCTACATTTAGTGAAGAACATACTAAAAAGACATAGACAAAAGATCAAATCGATTCATTATGGCCAATTCTAAAATTTGCAAAAGATTGGTGATAGTGTAATCCTATTTGCTTCGCCTTCATATGTTAGAATATACTTTATTATCAATGTAGGGTAGGTGAAGTTATTTGAATCTTCAATGTTGGATGATGATGCAAAATACAAAAGGTGATTCCGTTAATTGAGTTTCAACACTTGATTCCAACTTACTCCTTATAAGTCCAAAGTATACAATTATAAGAGAGTAGAAAAGGATTAGTAGGGGTAAGGAATTTTTCTTATCCATCAATTAAGGATACCTCGAGCGTTGTTTCACGATATAGAAAACTTTTCCTTAGATGTTGATGTGCAAATTTGGTGTGAAACTTCTTATAGATTTTTTTTGAAATGGATAGTCAAATTGATCGTCTCCCTCATGTAATCCCTAGAACAACACTAGCTATAAGGTTCATTGCAGGAGGAATGCATTTGTAGCTTTAAAGATCGCCTCAATGCAAGGTGGGTGGTACCCTTCAAGGTCGCTGATATGGACAAACTCCAAGGCAAGTTAGATGTTGCTTAATAGAAGATTAAGTTAGAATCTTCCTCCCATCTACTACTATTTGTAGGAGAAAATGAAGCCTGAATCTTACGGAACATAATCTTTGCAAGCCAACAACAATATGCCGCAAGGAAGCAAGGATGATTAGTTGATCCCCATCTCAGTTCCATGTATTTTTGGCTAAGGCTTGTGTGGATGAATTTTATTTTGAGTTTTGAGTTTATATGTTTCTCATCCATTCCTAATTTTAGGGAATTTGAAAAAATATTCCCGATATTCATGAATCGCATGTCTTTAATCAAGAAAGAAATTTGTCCTACATTTTTGAATGTAAGGATATTTCTTCAACTCAAAGTTAGAAATCACTTGGGTCGTAATTTCTCTTTTTGTATTATAAATAGATGATATTAATGACATTGAATAATAGAATTCAAATTTTCCAAAACTCTTTATCTTTATCTCTATTTTCCTCTCTCTCTCTCTCTCTCACACACACAAAAAAGTGTAATCTTTGATCATGGATAGGATGTTTGTCGGTTATTACAGGGAAATAGTTGCAACAAAACTCTCCTCTCTCTTTGTCTAAGAGTCATTGAACTACGGAAAATCCCCATAGAATCAGATTTCAGTTCAAAATTAGTAGGTTTGCTAAATTCTGCATAGAAACTTTGAAGTTTCTGTTTAGTCATCAAATTGCAATTATTCAGTGAGCTATATTAGCAATTGAGAAGCAGAGAAAGGAAGAAGTCTCAACCAGCTTATAAATCAAATCATTACAAACTAGGGGTTGTAAATGAGTTGAGTCGAGCTCGAGTAGCAACAAGTTCAAGCTTGACTTGTCTCTCAAAAGTGCAGCTCAAACTCGGGCTCGAGCTCATGTCGAACCCAAAGAACGAGCTCGAGCTTGACTCGTCCTTTTTCTCTCAGGCTCGAGAGTTGGACTCGAGATGGAATCATGGATGAAGCTTTTGTCTTGTCTTCATGGGGAAGTTTCGGATGTGGAGAAGGAAGATCATAAAAGCTATTCGTCGTCGCTAAAGAAGAAAGCTAAAAAAATGAGGAAGAAGGACAATGCGGAGTCTACAGCCTGTTGGTCTTTGTTTTGGGAAATTATGGACGTGGTCTCAAAAAGAGACATCTTTAAGTAATAGCTAATTAAAATAATAGCTATTTAAAATTGATTGTTGGGGCTGCTGTAAACATCTTTCTCTCGAAAAAAATAGAATAATGATATTTATTTAGGATTTTTTTGAAATGTGTACAGTTGTTGTTGTGTAGTATAATAATTATATTAATATATAATAAATGTTGTGTATTATTTTAATATATAAAAATTTTATTAAATAATTAACTCTTTACGAGCTGGCTCACGAGCTCACCGACCGAGCCTCATCAAGCTCGAACTAGAGCTCATTTAATAAACGAGCTCGAGTTTAAACTCGAGCTCGTGGCTCGATAAGCTCGGCACGAGAGCTCGTTAGTGAGTCGTTTAAGCCGACTCGACTCATTTACACCTTATTACAAACCCAATGTTGAGGACTGTTGGATCATTAATTCAATTATTAGTTATGTGATTCTACTTGTCTTGAATGATAAAAAGGGGAATAAGACTTGCAAATTGGAAGTCATAAATATGTCGGCGACTGTTTATTATATATCTATTGAAGACGAGGAAGCTATTTTTTGTAAAGGAAAAACTTATCCCATATTTTCCTTGTTGGGCATACCATCACAAATATAAGGTGGACACATTGTTATAGATTTATGATAGAGCTCCAAGCCAATCACAAATATATTAAATCTACATTGTATATGGAGAAATTCATCATAGTTGCATTAATTATGGAGCGAGTAAAAGTTCAAAATAGTCTCCCGACTATTAGTAAATATTCAATTTAGTCTCAGACTTTCATGATAATCCAATGTAGTCCTTTGACTATTGAAAAATATCTCACTTTGGTCCAAGGAAAAAAAGTTAAAAATTAACCATTACAATTAAATGTGAGGGTTTTTAAGGTATTATGATCTATCTAAGATTATATTATTTTTTTTATTTTTTTTTATTATCATATTAAAATAAATTTGCCGACCCCACTTAGTGGGATAAGGGCTTGATGTTGTTGTTGTTGTATCATATTAAAAAAAATAAAAAAATTATAATGGAAGTTAACCAACTAGCTAACAAGAGTGGATAATTAATAAATGTGGTTAACTTTCATTATAATTTTTTGTATTTATTTTAACATGATAAATGATAAAATATATAAAAATAATAATATAATCTCACATACATCATTATACTCAAAATACTCTCACATTTAATTGTTGAAGTTAACTTCAACGGTTACTTTTTGCATTGGGATCAAACTGAGATATTTTTCTAATAGCTAGGGGACTAAATTGGGGCATTATGACAGTCTAAGTCTAAATTGAGCATTTACTAATAGTTGGAGGACTATTCTGAACTTTTACTCATTAAAGAGCATATATCATAGTTGAGATCTCTACGCCTTAAATTAAGGAACATATGATTTACGGCCCTTTGGTAAGATGAAGTAGCACTTTCATACCATTTAGAGTCTTTTTTAGGTTTGTATGAAATCAGATATATGGAGAGTATTCGCACAGTTTTTTTCATGGTCTTGAAAGTGATAGTGGTTTTAGCATCACTTTTATGACCATTAATAGCATTCTGCAAGAAATAGTCATGCTACTTTAACGTGAATAGCTCTAGTTATGCGTAAGTCAGCAACTTGTTTGATTACTTCTTTTTGTCTGAAGTGAATATGTTTAGTTCTGTTTTTTTGTGGTAAAATAAATGAAAAAATATGTTCCTTCTTTGATATGATATTAATTTACAAGATTTTGACACTGTTTAAACTTTGGAGAGTATATTTTTTTTCTGCACGAATTTATAGCTTGAAAAGCGGATTATTCTAAGCCACTTTGCAATCTGAGATTGTTTTTCATGTTGATGGGCAAAAGGAGTACAATATGATGGACAACTATTTTGAATACAATGCAGGTATCACGAGATCCTCATACAGGCATTAGTCGAGGTTGTGGTTTTGTTACAATGGCTTCAATTTCTGAAGCAAAGTTCGCAGTAAATTCTTTGGATGGGTCTGTAAGTCCTACATTGAACTTGGGAGATTATTTTGATTCCATTTATCTTAACTTAGAGAGATTATTTTGATTACATTTATCTTTCTGTGTTCTATACTATTATAATTACTCGTACATTTCTAGGACGTTGCGGGCCGTGAAATGCGAGTAAAGTTTTCCGTTGACATGGTTTCTGGTAGAAAAAATGCGGGGGCTCCGAACTCTGCCCCTAAAAAGAACATCGTCTTTGAAAGTCCTTACAAGATTTATGTTGGTAACCTATCTTGGTCAATAAGGGTTCAAGAGTTGATGGAATATTTTAGTCAATTTGGAACAGTTATCAGCACAAGGGTGCTTCATGATCGCAAGAGAGGCAAAAGTCGTGCCTACGCATTTATTTCTTTTTCTTCTCCAGATGAAGTTATGGTTGCAACACAAGCAAATGGCTCGGTATGCATTGCTTTTGTACTTAAAATACTTCATATACAAGACATTGCCCATTTTTTTGAAAAAAAAGCATATTTCTGCACCATCTTCTTTACTGTTGATTGTTAAATTTTTGGGCCAATCAAACTGGATGGTTGAACTGTTCTTGATTGTTAAATTTATAGAGTGTAGGTTGCTAACTGGATTTATGTTTTAAGCTGGCAATTTGTGGTTCATTTTTACATTTCTTTGTTTGTTTTTCTTTTATTGTTGTTGATGCAGGAGTTTTGTGGGCGCATTATGTCAGTGAGGGAAGTTATTGATCAGGATCCATTGACCTAATGAAGAAATTTTTTACAATTTTGCACCAGAACATCTTTTTGTTCACTTGACCAGGCCACATACTCTAGGGTTTTCACTCACTCTGTGCAAAATTCAGGTATCCCCTAAAACTTTTATCAATTTTTACTTATACAACAACAACATCAAGGCTTTGTCCTACTCCGTGGGGTCAGCTACATGAATCATTTTTCTTCATTGTGTCTTGTTAAAAGTCAAATTCTCGTTTAAATCTAATAAGGAAAGATCTTTTTAAATATTTTTTAACCAAGTCTTTTTAGGTTTACCTCTAACTTTTTTAACATCAGTCAAATCTAATACATTTACTTTCCTAACCGGGTCATCGGAAGGCCGCCGTTTTATGTATTCAAACCATCTAAGGCGACTCTCTCTAATCTTATATTCCACTAGAGTTACTCCAACCTTTTCACGTATATGCTCATTTCGTATCATATCTCTAAGGAAATGATCCCCCGTGTCTCCTGAATCCTCCATAATCTCCCATTCCTCGAAAAGGAGGTACTCCCCAATTATCACGATCTTCCCTCCGGCGGTTATACCCGAACCCCTTTCTCATATTCCCCTCTTCTCCCTTCAAAATCAGCACCCCGGCGATGGAATTCTCCCCTTCTCCCGATGAAATTAGCACCCACCGGTCATTTCCCAAACTCATCTCCTCTCTAAAAAGTGGCTCTAGAGGCGGCATGTCGTCCTCCCCCTCATTGACCTCCACTTCTGGATTTCTCCTCCCCCTAAATGGGTTTGGATTTCCTCCTACACCATGGCCTCCGGTGTTCTCTCTTGCTTTCGATGTCGCAGGATTTGTCTTCAACTCCAACAGTTTCTTCAGCATTTCTTCCATCACCGTGAATTTCCCCTCTATCCTTTTGTTGTTGGAGGTGATTTGAGTTTGAAAGTCAAAGAACTTTCTCTCCAAATCTGATTTCAGTTGACCAATCTCGCCTTCCAAGATCTCTACCTTCTTCCCGGCCATCTCTCTCCCCAAGAATCACTAAGATCTTCTTCCGGTAAAAAAAAAATCCCGCTGAAATTTCAGGATTTCAGCCGCCGACGGTCCCAAATCGATGCTCTGATACCAATTTGATAGGAAATACTTGAGTTCGCAAGTAACCCTAAGGTAATACTTGAGTTAGTAAGCAACCCTAACGCAAATCGGTGATCAAACTGCGGCAATATTGTTGTCCAGAACAGGAAAACAGCATAAATCTGCTGTTTACAGCAGAAAAACAGCACCCATCTAGGAAAATCTGAGAGAAAACTCAAAGAAAAACTTGTATTCCACTAGACGATGAATAAAAACAGCAAAGATATAATTGTTCTTCAATCCGAGAGGAAGAACAACTCTCCAATCTCCGGCAACGCCAAGAGCCCAAAGCAAAGAAACCCTAGATCTCAAATTATCATTCAAATTCAAGATGATCCCCAATTCCCTCCTCATCCCCTAATTAACAATAAAGGAGCACTATAAATTACCTAAACAACCCTTACATTCAAATTTTCCCTCTCATCCCTGCATTAAGCCCCAAGTGGGCCCCATTGGATTTCGGCCCCCTCCTTTTTTCCGCCTGGCATACACTTGGACCGGTCCAGCCAGGATGGGCCGGCATAACAAAAACCTCTTCTTTAAGAACTCAAGTGCTATTTACACTCAATTCTTTACTATTGCAGATGGGTCTTACGATTTTGATAATTGCAAGTGTTGTATTTTACCTTAATCAGATCGTTAGGTGAAATATTTTTTATGCCTTGTGCTGCAGGATCTCTAAGTTAACGGTACTACGGCATAGTTGGCTGAGCTTAATGGGAATCGTTGTTGTGAAGTTTTCTTATTCTCCGATTCTATTATGTTGATGAAATTGCTTGGTTACATCTGATAGCCATTCTCCGACCATCCACCGCCTGGATTTTCAGTGGATGCACTCCTCTACTACAGTTTTGCAGCTTATAATATTTCAAATATTGGACAGAATTAGGGCATTTATCTGAAAACCGAACTATATGTGAGTTTCTGCCAACTTTTCTTAGTTGCTTCCATGATTGGATGATGAAATATTTGCCTATTAGAATGAAGATGGCATATTTGTGTTATTTCAGTACCAATAGATTGTTTATGTTCTGAACAAAATTAGGTTTCTTTGAAAGGTGCTGTTAGTATTATAGCTTTTTTCAAAAAAAAAAAAAAATCAAAATAACAACTTTTATACTCCTATTTGTACTTTAGCATATCTAATTCTCAAAAACAACTAATCATATAAATTTTTTGGAAGGCAAGAAAGTTGTAGGTAACATATGTGCATCAATGTGGAAAGTAAATGTGTGAAAAGACCACCACAAATGCCTTGTTAAACTTCCTTTTTTCAATATGGTTTTCCTGCTTGTTTTTTTTTTTTTGAGAGATTTTTGAGTGATTTAGATGCAAACTCACATATACATCATGTATATAAGTTTCGAACTTAAAATTTTTAGTTGATAGTTGAAGCTTCTAACCAATAGATCATGATGAGTTGCATTGCTTGCCTTTCAAAGTCCTACATAGGGACCTGGTTGGGTAACCATTGGGTACCCATGTTCTGCATGGGCAGGCTTTACGCACCCGTGATAACTTTCAGGATGATGTGCCCACCTATACCCACCAACTTTCGATGCCTTTCGAACGCAGTCTGTCATAGATTGATGGCCTTAAGGCTTGTTGCCTTTTGCTTTGAATGCGAACTTTCAAGCCACATATTAAAATTTATCGTTGTTACAACTCGGTTCAGTTATGTGCATTGCGTAATGAGATTATGATAATATACAACATATGATGATTAGCAATGTAAATCGGTTTATACCCCGATGTTAAGTGCTCACCCATATCCACCCTTGAGGTTATGAGTGTACCCATACGGCCATACCCACTTATACCCATTGGGTATGAGTGGGTTTGTGGGTATGGGTACCCAATGTAGAGCTCTGTTTGCCTTTTATTGGTTCGTCTTCTTTTCCTTGAAAAGACATGTTTAGTATTGAAGCACAAACAATTTCTTCTTAAATCTTCATGTAAGCTATTTGTTGGCCCCTATTGTTATGTTTTTTTTATCGTTTATTGTTTGGGATAATTTTTTTTGCTGTTTTTGAAAACAGCTTTTTTGTATGAAAGTTTTTTTTTTCAAAATAGTTTTGTACTAGAAGTTTCTTTGTAAAACAATACAAAAGCTGTCACAAACCAAGCCTTAGATTGCAGGAGCTGCGTGTTTGAATCAGCAACTTGCTATCTTGCATTTCAAAATTGTAATGATATGTTGGTTTATGTTGCACAGCTTATTCAAAAAAAAAAAAAAAATGTTGCACAGCTTATTGAGAAATTTATGAGAACGTAGTGAAGATTTCCAGAGAATGTTAGTCTGAGAAAATGATATGGATGAAAAAAACTTAAATATGTGCTCTGTATCTTCTCTTTGCTGCCTTTCATTCTTATTTTGTTCCTTTGGGCGTAAGGCTTCGATTATGATGAATTTTTTTATTGCTTCTTAAAGCAGTTGTTTAATGCAAAAATTTATGCTAAAAATTTGTTTAAAGAAACGGTAAGAAAGTCGTCCCGCACCTAGCCTATGTGATTGAAAAGCCATTGTACTAAGGCGCTTTGAGGAGTGCAAACATTAAAACAAATATTACATTTTTATTGAAAACATAGAAGTATTTGCATTTTGCATTTTAAAAAAAGGCAAAAAAATTATACGTTTTTTATTGAAAATGCAAAAATGTGATTAAGGTTATTTAAATTTTTATAATAAATTTTAAGGTTTCTTTCTAAAGTTTATAATAATTTTATAATTTAATTTTGTTAGATTATATCATTTATGAATTTCTTTTACATTTTATTTTATTTAAGTATTTTAAATGATATTTATAATACTTATGAATTTATAAATATGTTATGTTAATTTTATTTTACTTTTTCCGTTGATTTAATGTTTGTAAAATTATTTGTAATTATTTCATATTTTGTATAAATTTATAAACATAATTTTAGTTACTTATAAATTATAGAGTTTTAAGTTATTTGATAAAAAAAGAAGTTGATCATATTTATAAATTAAAGACTAATAAAAAAATTTAAACGGATTATTTTTGGGTCAACTCAAATGACTCATAACTATTTAGACTCGAATTTGACCCATTTATTAAATGGGTTAACTCAAATTTAATTTTTTTTTATTGGTTGATGGGTTGGGTAATTTATTTTCTTATTGATATATAGGTGCATCTGCCATGTGATTTGGTGACAAGAAAGAAATGTTAGCAATATTAAAGAGAAATCAGACCATTTCCCAAAACTTCCAAAGTTCTTTGGGAGAAATCATTGTGCTTGCAAAATTAAATTTTGTGTTAGAATATCCTCTTTAAAAATTTCAAATTTATTTTAAAATAAGTATAATAATAATTATTTATATATTAAACTAAACTAAAAAGAAATTTTAAATTTTATTATGATTAAAATATTTAATTTAACTTTATTACTCTATGAAATTATGCTCCAATATAGATTATTCATCTTATTGACAACCATTCTTTTTTTTTAATCAAATAAATGAGAATTTTTATAGAAATTATTTCCTATGTTACTTCAAATATAACTTGGCATAATTTATTTTCAATGCACTAAAATACTCGAAAGTGACAGTCTATCTTAGTCTGTTGGTTCAAAGCTTTACTTTTAAACTAAGAAATCTCAAAATCAAAATTTGTATATCTTGTACATTTATGATTTAAGGTATGTTTGAGAAGAAATTATTCCGTTCAGAGTCCATACGGGTACTGTGAGTGAACACATTGTGTACAAAAATTATATGCAATGTCGCAGTATCTACACTCACTGTCCGGACAAACGGGAACTTCCCGTCCGGACTCTACACGGAGTAATTTCTCTTGTTTGAGATAGCTTTTTTGGTACTTCATTTTTTAGATAACAATCTTAGTTTCGTTTAGCTATTGTTTTATTGCTATTTTTTTACTATATTTCAAACATTTTTATGTTGAAAAGCTATTTTCTTACAATCTGAAGAGCTAAATTATTTTCTTCACAATAACTTCATATATAACTTTATAAAATGCGGCAGGTGTCCTAAATTGATTCTTAATTTACTCTTAATTTGCTGAAAAATTAAAAAGAAAATCAAAAGTGGATTCAGATTTATTAAAGTAGGGCTATTCAGTCTTATGGCATTGATTGAATATACTATAAACTAGAAAGCAATTAGGACTAAAAGTCTTTATGCCAATACTATGATATGATATAAAGTTTGAATACCTTTTCTAATGTGATTGTGGAAACAATCAAATGGTTAATAAATAAATTAATGATTAATGGTAATTAATCCAAAAAGGTTTAAATTCCTTAATGTAATCTTCCCTAAATGAATAAGAATATTCTAAGTGTATGCTTATTTATTTTATTTTTTATTTCTTTCTAGATTTTTCAATATGATTTTCAATTTATTTGGCTAAATTAAGTATTTTTTTATAAAAATTTTCATGAAAAAATAGTCCTTAGCAAAGCAAGATTTAGAAGGAAAATTTTTCTTTATAATATCTCAAACAAAATATTATTTATGATGTAAGATTGCTTTAAATATTTTGCATAATATATTTAAATATTTTTTTTGTAATAAACTCATGTATATTATTTACTTACAAAATAGTGTGAGATTTATAAAACATTCAATTTTATCTTCTTGTATATTAAAAGGGGTGGACTGCAAAATAATCCCTGTTATTCGTGTGAAGTCAATTTAGTCACAGAATATCACGTTGCATAAATTAATTTCATCGAGTATACAAAATTTATCCAAAATAATCTATTTGAGAGTAAATTGTGATCAATTTATACAATCTAGAGATTCAATAGAATAAAGATTTTATATCTTAATTATAACATGAGGAAATTTGGATCAATTTTGTATAGTTGACGGACGAAATTGGAGCAACGTGATATTCTGAGATTAAATTGGTCATACACGAATAATCTAGAGATTATTTTGAAATTTTTTATATGTTCAAAATTATATTTATAAATTTTGTTAATATTTTTGGAGCCATGTAATTAATGGGCATAAAATTAATGGAAAGAAAAGAATCTCTTACACATTAAATGTATACATCCTCTCCATCCTATACTTTCTCATGAAGCAAAATTTCTTCAATATTTTATTATGTTGAAGAATAAAATTTCAATTAATTTTGGTAACTTAGGCTTCGTTTGAGATGGCTTTTTAACTAATTCTTAAAGCGGCTTTCTAGTATAAAAATATTAATTTTTGTTCTAAAAAGCCGCTTTAAGAAGCAATAAGAAAACCACCTCAAATGAAGCTTTAAGCTTAATAAGAAGCTTGAGATTGACTTGTTTTGGAGCTTTTTTTTTTATAATATGAACAAAAAATAATTAATTAGGTTAGTATGAATGCCGACATATTAATTAAGATTAATTGAACCTGCTGTACAATCCGATGAGCCAAGTCGGGCCAAGCTCATAGAATATATGATCTCAAATTTAAGCTCGAACTTGAACTTGAACTCTTGGCTCGATAAACTCGACTTGTGAGCTCATCAACGAATTCAAGTTGGCTCAGCTCACACCGAAATCTCAATTTATTTTTACAAAAAATATAGTTTAAAACTTAATTATTATTTACAAATTATAATCATCTTAAGAAAATAGCAATTTAAAAAACTTAAATTAATTTTTAGGAGATATCATCTCCTAATTTTCAAAGGCCTTTTCCCATTTCTTAAGCTTTACTTTTTCCTTCCAATTACATTTTCTACATGTGGAAGGGACCACAAAGGCTACATTTCTTCTTTAATTTCCAATCTCATCAACTTTTCAACGAAATAAATGCTAAGATATGACCCCCTCAAAGCTCAGCAACACTAAAGATCCACATGGTCGCCTGATTGATCAGTAATTGAGGATTCCATTCTCATTTAGGACCGTTTGGTTGTGATTGTTTGAAATTTAGAAGTATTTTAAATCAATATATTATGCTACCAAAAGTAACGGTTGGTGTTGCCTCAAATTTAGCTCGACCTTTTACTACAAGAAAATGGGACAATAGCGACAA